TATATATATATATATATATATATATATATATATACAGATTTTTTTTCTCAGTCACAATTATTGAAAATACATTTAAGCAAGGTAATTTATTTATTATGAATGAACAGTCTATAATATCTCAAAATGAAATAATAGTGGTCTTTATTTCTCATAATTATATGGTTACCATTTTCATCATCCTACAGGTGAAGGAATGGCTGTGTTTGAACTGCCAGATGCAGAGAGCTCCCGAACCTACAGTTGTGAAACCAGGAACTACTAAATTACCACCACCTGCATCACCAAAAAAACAAGACACTGGGGGTGTTGTAGCAGAGGATAATGCTTCTGCGAAACAAGAAGGCAAACCAAATCTGGCAGATTCCAAACAAACTACATCAGAGGCCCAAATCCAGAAAAATGTCTTACCTGCCAAATCTGATCAACCATCTAAATCGGAATCTTCTAAACAGGATTCAGATTTTTTCAGCTTTGGTTTTGGTGGTTCTCGTTCAAGGTCACCATCTCCTCAGCCCACTGTGTCTTTTGTCTCTGGGAAGGTTCTAGGCTTCGGTTCCTCCTTCCTTAGCTCAGCATCCAATCTGATCTCCTCGGCTGTCCAGGATGAACCTTCTAAAACTCCACCAACTTCTCGCAAAGGGTCTACAGTTTCCCAGACTTCGAATAAGACAACACCAACACCTCCCACTTCTCGAAAAGAATCAGTAGCTCCACAAGACACTAAACTAAATCTTACTGCAGCAAAATCAAATCCAACCCTTTCACCAACCCAAGAACAGAAAAAGCCACCAGATGCTCAATCATCCAAACCTCTACAAGCTCAAGTGAAAGAGGAGCATCCAAGAACTTGCCCACTCTGTAAAGAGACCCTTAAGAAGGACCCACAAAACTATAGCTCTTGCACTTCTTGCAAAAGCATTGTTTGCAATCTCTGTGGATTCAATCCCACTCCACATCAAACTGAAGTAAGTCTGTGTTTTACACTTATTATATCTCATAATAAAGACTCTCGTTTTGCTACCAGAAATGATTCTGTACAGATTTTGTAATTTAAATAATAGAGATAAGGTTAAAATTATGGGTAAATAAGTTTGTATGGTCATAGATGGCAATCTTTCTTATTATCTACAGGTGAAGGAGTGGCTGTGTTTGACCTGCCAAATGCAGAGAACTTCAGGTCCTCCCCCAGCTCAGCCACAGTCTAACAAAGTACTTCCACCAGCATCTCCACAAAAGGAAAAGACTCCAGAGAAGAAGCCAAGTGTTACAGCTGAGCAGGAAAAGAAACCTCCTATAGATACCAAAACACCAACAACACCAAATACTCAAATATCTAAACGTGATGCTTCTCCTTCCAAGTCTGCTCCACTACCTAAAGGTGAACAGATTAAAGAAGAGTCAAGTTTCTTTGGCTTTGGTTTCGGTGGTGCTCGATCTCGATCTCCCTCTCCTCAGACTGCTGTCTCTGATAAGGTTTTTGGTTTTGGATCCTCCATCCTCAGCTCAGCATCTAACCTGATCTCTTCGGCTGTTCAGGATGAATCCTCCACCAAAACTCCACCAACATCTCGCAAGGGATCTACAGTTTCCCAGACTTTAAATAAGACCACACCAACACCACCTACTTCTCGAAAAGGATCAGTTGCTCCTCAGGATGCTAAACAAAATCCACCTGAAGGGGAATCAAAGCCAGTTGTTACAACAATACTAGAACCAAAGCCAGTGCAGAAAACCTCAGATCCTAATTTGGCCAAACCTCCACATGCTCCAGAGGAGCTTCCAAAAACCTGTCCACTTTGCAAAGAAACTCTGAAGAAGGACCCACAGAACTACAGCTCTTGTAGTTCTTGCCAGAAAATTGTTTGTAATCTCTGTGGATTCAATCCCAATCCCCATCAAACTGAGGTACCATATGTCAATGTCTTTAACATTTATATATATGTAAAGGCTCTATTGAAAATGTAAAAAAAAGAATTATTTTGTGTAGATTTTGACTTTTAAAAGAAAGTATGTTTAATGGTTTCATAAACTTTTAAAAAAAAATAATCAACAGGTGAAGGAATGGCTATGCTTGACCTGCCAGGTACAGAGAACCTCAGGACCTTCCCCTGCTCAGCCACAACCACAATCCAACAAAGTACCACCAGCCTCTCCAGAAAAGAAAGTGGCTCAAATTCCAACTTCCCCAGAAAAGCAGCAGAGTGTCCCTGCTGAGCAGGACAATAAACCTCCAGCAGAGACTAAAAAACCTACAATTAGTCTAACTCCAAATGATCAAAAGTCTAAAGGTGTAGCTTCTCCTTCCAAACCTGCTCCATCATCTAAAGTCGAACAGATTAAGGAAGAGTCTAGTTTCTTTGGCTTTGGTTTTGGAGGTGCTCGATCCCGGTCACCTTCTCCTCAATCTGCTGTCTCTGAGAAAGTTATGGGTTTTGGGTCGTCCTTCCTTAGTTCAGCATCTAATCTGATATCCTCAACCATTCAGGATGAGTCATCCACCAAAACTCCACCAAGTTCTCGTAAGGGATCCACTGTGTCCCAAAGTTCTGTTAAGACAACTCCAACACCACCTACCTCTCGAAAAGGTTCAGAAGCTTCACAAGCCACACAAAAAATTAAACTGGCAGAAGAAGCCAAACTTATTACTGCACAGAAACAGGATGAAAAGAAAAAAGAGGGAATTAAACCACAGGATGAGATGACCAAAGAACCAATCGCTGATGTGAAAATTAACAGACCAGTTCCAGAGCTTCCAAAAGCCTGTCCACTCTGTAAAGTGGACATAAAGAGGGATCCACCAAATTACAACACTTGCACTGAATGCAAGGACACGGTGTGCAATCTTTGTGGATTTAATCCCATGCCACATCAAACTGAGGTAAGAGCACTTAATTTGTTTCTTTGTATCTCTGTGAGTTGCACATGCATCAGTTATTGCATTAATTCAATTAATTCAGTGTCAATTCAGTGTAATTTCAAGAACATCTTTTATTATTTTAATTCTAATTCTGATTATTATCCTACAGGTTAAGAAATGGCTGTGTTTGAACTGCCAGGTGAAGAAAGCTCAAGTGTCTCCCTCTGCCCAACCACAGCCACAGGTTAGCAAAGCATCTCCACCAACAATACCAGAAAACAAGGAGGCTCTCATACATACTCCAATTCCAGTGTCTCCAAAAAATAAGCCAGATGTTATTGGGAAGATAAGCACATCAGTTGCTAAAGAGAATCAAGAGAACAAACCTACACAAGCTTCAACACAACCAACTGAAATGCCAAAACATGATCCTTCTCCTGCAAAATCGATTGTACAACAGATACCAGAACCTTCTAAAGAGGAATCAGGTTTCTTTAGCTTTGGTTTTGGTGGTGCTCAATCTGGATCCCCTCAGCCTTCAGTGACTGCTGTCTCAGGGAAGGTTCTGGGATTTGGATCCTCCTTTTTGAACTCTGCATCTAATCTAATCTCCTCAGCTGTTCAAGATGAGTCCTCCACACCGCCACCAACTTCTCGTAAGACTTCCACAGCTTCTGAAACATCTGCAAAGACTACAACACCACCAACATCTCGCAAGGCATCTGTGGTTTCCCAAACTTCAGTTAAGACTACACCAACACTACCCGCTTCTCGGAAAGGATCTGTTACTTCTCAACAAGTTCCACCTACTGGTGACACAAAAGCACCTATAACAGACAAGCCAAAGGAGGACAAAACAGATGAGAAGCAGGTGCAACAGGCTTCAGCAGTACCTGAAGCTTCAGTAGTAGCAGTGGCAGCTCCTAAAGCAGAAACCAGAGCATGTCCTATTTGCAAAGTGGATCTTAATGTGGGTTCAAAGGACATCCCTAACTACAGGACCTGCACTGAGTGCAAGAACACTGTTTGTAACCTCTGTGGATTCAAACCAACACCCCATCAAACAGAGGTAAGAGAATGCTACTAACACTCTTTTAACAGAGCAGATTAATTTACACTTATCTAAAATGCTTGGTCGCTCCAGCTCCAGTGTATTTTGTTTAGTGGTCTCCATGAAAAATCAATCTCATATTAATTTTCCATCAATATCATGGAAGAATGAAGTCAAGAATTCCTTTTTAATCTCTCCTTACAGGTCAATGAATGGCTTTGTTTGAACTGCCAAACAAAGCGAGCATTAAATGGAATGGAACCACAAGGACCTCCAAAAATGAAGACCCATGAACAACCTGAAAATGTCTCCACCTCAGCACCGCATCCAAGAACAGAAAGTATAACACCAGGGGCACCATCATTAGTGTCAACCGTGGTTCCTAATGTTGCTGAAACCCAGAAGAAAGAGATTCAAACTGCAGCCATCCTTGATAAAACTAAGACTCCTGTTTCAGTGGATGTCCAAAAGAAAGAATCAGTCTCAGCTTCACCACAACCACTAGAGACAAACATAAAGGTACAACCTGCATCATCTAAGAAGAAAGAAACATCAGATTCAAAGAGAGACAAAGAAACTGACACACTCTTAGAGGAGTCTGACAAGTCCCCAGAAAAATATGCTCCACCTCCACAGGCAGAGCCACCAAAACAGGAATCCAGGTTCTTTGGTTTTGGATTTAGTGGTCCTAAGGTACAACCTGCTTCCTCTAAGCCATCTGAGTCAACCACAGGGAAACTCTTTGGCTTTGGTGGCTTGACAGAAACAGCTAGATCTCGATCACCATCACCACAGTCTGTTTCTGCTGTGTCTGGAAAAGTTCTGGGCTTTGGATCCTCTATATTTAGCTCAGCATCTAATTTAATCAGCTCAGCTGTACAGGATGAACCTTCCACAACACCACCAACTTCTCGAAAGGCATCCACAGTTTCCCAGACCTCTGCTAAGACTACTCCTCCCACATCTCGCAAAGGATCTGCAGTGGCACAAGCCTCTAGTAAGATAGGAGACACCAAATCACATGCAGGGCAAGATGCAGAGAAACCAGCAGAGAAAAAAGCAGAAATCAAGCAAGTCACAGCACCCAAACCACCTCAGAAACCTGCTCCTAAAGAAGGCAAGACCAATTGTCCATTATGCAAAGTGGAACTCAATATTGGTTCCGAGGATGCCAAGAATTTTAACGCATGCACAGAATGCAAGACAACAGTGTGCAACCAATGTGGATTTAATCCAATGCCTCGTCAAACAGAGGTAAGACATTTAACCTTTACTTTTAACACTTTTAAGACCCATGTACCATTCTTGTTGTCTTTTATTCCATTATACTCTATATACAGTATTTACATACAGTACGCCAGTATAACTTGCATTTTCATCATATTACAGAACATAACAATGTCACTGGCATTCTGGAAATTTTTTTTTTTTTAAATGTAACTATTTTTTATTTTATTATTTTTTTACATTTTTTAGACATTCCAAAAAAAGTTACATTCAAAAACAGTTTCACATTTCACCATGCATTTTTAGTCTTCTATCATTAAGCTCTAATTCACTTATAGTTTTATATCTATGTTTACTTTGAATGCTGCTAAGTACAGTATATCTTTGACTTTTTGTCCGCTAATTGCCTATTTGCTTTATTTTGTTTTTAAAATCAATATTTAAGAGGGGCCATTTGTAGTCTAGGGCTGTCAAAATGACAGGCATAATTTCAGTTAGTGGGAAAAAAGCTTTTGGCTTCTCTCCTGTTTGACGTAAACAACATCTTTTCCACACTGATGCTCTCGTTTTCCGCAATATATGAATGAACAACGTAGCAGCGCCGCATCTAGTGGGTTCAACTGGATAGGCTAACAAAAGCATTCAAATGCAATCAATGACACATACATCGTCATCGCATCTTGTGCGCCACTGATAAGGCTGCCTAACGGCTGACGCAGACCTTTAATTCAAATGCAACATTTTTGCATTCGAATGTGGATTTTTTTTTTTTTATTCTACGAATATTCGAAATTCGAAAAAAAAAAATAACAGCTGTCATGATGTCAGTGTGGCGAGCCATTGAAATTCCCAAGACATATTCGGTAGCAGTGTTACTTGAGGCAGTTATTTTGTGTAATTAAGTGTAGTATAAAAATAAGTTCAACAACAGTTCAACTTTGACCCTCACCGGCTTTTTTATGCATTTCACTTACAGATATGTAAAGTAAGGATAAAAAAAATTGTCACAGAGCCAATGTTAATGATGTGAAGAAGTGTTCATTTATTTTAATTTGTTATATTAATGTATGTTGAAGCAGCAGTTTTTTGTAGTTATTAGGTTTTCTACATATAAACCTACTGCAAGACATTACAGTAGAGTATGAAATATATTATTGCCAGTAATTGTCTTATAACTATTGCAGGTTGAGGAATGGCTCTGCCTGAATTGCCAGGTACAACGGGCACAGGCAGGGATTAAAACATCTGAAAGTCCCACAGTGAAACCTCAGCCAGTTCCCTTAGTGAAAGACGACCAAACTCCATCCAAAGTTGACAAGATATCTACAGCTCCAGTTGAGTCTAAACCTGATGAGAAGCCTGCTGCAGCTGAAAAGAAAGCTGCCCCTGCTCAAGAAATAAAGAAAGAGATCTCAGTTCCAAGCCCGCAACAAAAGGCAGGTACTGATTCTAAGGCAACTGATACAATCACCCCAAGAAGAGAGCCTCCTAAGCAAAACGATACTCAACAAGATCCTGCGAAAACACAACAGCCACCCAAAGATACAGCCACTCCCGTAAAATCTGCTCCACCTGCCGAGGTTGGACCCCCAAAACAGGAATCCAATTTCTTTGGTTTTGGATTAGGTGGTCCTAAAGCACAGCCTACTTATTCTAAACCATCTGAGTCAACCACAGGAAAGTTCTTTGGTGGATTTGTTGGACTGACAGAAACGACTAGATCTCGGTCACCCTCACCACAGTCAGTTTCTGCTGTCTCCGGGAAAGTTCTGGGCTTTGGATCCTCATTATTTAGTTCGGCGTCTAATCTGATCTCCTCAGCTGTTCAAGATGAGCCATCCACAACACCTCCAACTTCACGAAAAGGCTCCACAGTTTCTACTGAGTCTGGTAAATCTACCACAGCACCAGCTTCTCCCAAAGGCTCAGTGGCCTCTGCCAAGGCTACACCGCCAACATCTCGCAAAGGATCTGTTGCAACAGAACCTAAGAAGGTACTTCCTGAAAAAGAGAACAAACCACCTGTTGAAAAGAAACCAGAGCAGCACAATGAGGCCAAAGTATCAAGGATACCTACTTCAGAAAAGGATAAACCTGAAACTGGACAGGATAAATTAGTAAAAGATCCTGAAAGTGCACCTCAACCATCCACCTGCCCACTCTGCAAAGTGAATCTTAACATGGGCTCGAAGGACCCTCCTAATTACAACACCTGCACTGAATGTAAAAGCGTTGTATGTCATCTCTGTGGATTTAACCCCATGCCTCACCTTGCTGAGGTGAGTCATTGACTATTTTGTTGTCTTAAGTCTTTGTTTCTGAAGGTCTGGTTTTAATATGTGTCTTTAGTAAATAGATAATTAAAGTGTTGATTGTTAATTTAATTTGATTTCCTCACTGAAGTACTTTAGACTCTTGTTTGGGAGTCACTACTCGAAAGGCTCTTCTGACTGATATCTAAGTCTGATATCTTTCTTAACTCTTATGTATTGGTGACTAATTAGCCAATGTTCTTGGGTGCATGAGTCTGACAGACAGAAAATCTGGAGTGGTGGGTTCTCCAACATGCAGTTCGTAACCTCTGTTATGCCCACTCATTCTCCAGATGGCTCTTTCCAAATGATTGTAATCTCACTAAAACTCTACAAGGGCTGAGGATGCAGTAGAAGAGCCAATAAATGCATTAGCATTCTGCAGGGACCAGTGAGTGATTGGCATTCTTTCAGGTTTGGCCAATAACAGCCAATGTAGATTGAGTCAACAAAACCCCACTAAGAAATTAAGTGACTTGTGAATCCAAAGCCTAGAAAATGAAAGTGGGCTCTATTGTCCCTTTGGTGATTTACAACTGCTAATAAATGAAACTGTTTGGGAATTCAAAGCGTAAAAATGAAAGTGGACAGTAGTGTTGCTGTGATGATTTAAAACTGCTGTTTGTATGCAAAACAAGACAATTTAAAAAATTTTTTTTTAATTTTGCATGCCCTCTGCATTGCAAATGTGGACAAACTTTTATTTGGTGAGATGCCCAGGCCTTGAGTAAACACTAAGCTTGGAGAGCAGAGGCGGTAATCTGCATGAGTGGTATTTCTGATAGTGTAGCTTCACGCTAATGCTGAAACGTGCTGAGTGCTGACTCTGGGGGAAGAATCCCTGTGTTTGACCAAAATGTGTGATTACGTAACAGGCTGATTGAAGAAAGCCACAGCTTGCAGCACACTGTTAAAGTGATCGAGGGTTTGAATATGGAGACGGGTGGTGTGCCTTATGATATCCCAATAAATGGAGGTGGTGATGAGGGTGGGGGCTGGGTGAGTTGTCAGACATCTTTCTCGTGCCTGTGGACTGATGGACTAAAGCTCCCATGCCATCTGCAGCGTGCACATGGCCACTTCCACAGCATGTCAGCCGTCCATCATTTATGCTAATATGACTTCCTGTGCATGTGACCCCAACAAGCTATGTTCATCGCTTTCATCAGAACTGTGATTGCAGAAGTAATTTAATGAGAAAACTGTTTGATTTATGGATTGGTGGATTATTACAGCACACTGAAGGAAATGGCATGAGAATAAGGCATGTTACAGTATTTAATATTCTGTAATGATCGTCTGTTCTGTGTCCAGCTGCAGCTGTTCTCTGTCAGTGGTGCACTGCAAATCATATACTGTACGAGCGTAGCATCGCTGTTTTTTTTTTTTTTTTCCCATTTTGAAACACTTGTATTTTTTTAGATTTCAGTTATTTAGAAAGTGTAAATAATATAATAGGCTACAATGGGCTAACGTTTGGAGATTTCAATTTTGAATTAATCAGTAAACACTTGACTGTGTCAGGAAAGCTGTTAACCTGGTAAAATATGTTCCTATGGTGCCTTTACTCTGACAAGCTATAGGAGCTCTGTTTTGACAGTCAGCTTGCATCTCATTTACTGCCTGCTGTGCATGCTAATGAACTATCGCCTGTGATCCACTGTTTCCTAAAATTGTGGATCAGTGCAAATACATTTATGCCACGTCTTTGTAATCAGTATATTTGCAGCTGAAAAATGCACCATGTGTGTGCAATGTAGAAACAGCTGTAGATGGGCAAATTTAACTATAATAGAATTGACTTTTTTGGGGTGTTCTGTACACCCATGTAGGTCCAGGTACAGGATAATATCATCTGATATCAGCTTATGGAAAAAGTATGCACTGTTATGTGGACATTTTATCAGTTGGTATTTGCATTGTTTCTGTATAGTTTAAAAGTTAGTGGTTTATAAATAGGCTATTTATTGCATTCATAGATTTGATAGATTTTTTTGTTTTGTTCTGTCCTTTTATTATTCAGTCCACGGGGTCACACTATCTAAACAATTTTCATTTTATATATATTTTTAAAAAGTATCTGCAGAAGATGGCCCACTTAGAAACAGACAGCCTTGTATTTTTATGTGCTAAATCATATTTGGCACTGCACTTTCATCCTGCCCTTTTGGATCTGACACAGTCAGTCTCTTGTAATATGCCCTTAACATGAGCCTTTAACTCTGGCCTCTACAATCCTGCACCTTCACACAAGAAAACGAACCCTGTGCTTCTGATGTTAATTGAAAAATACAGTGTATGCCCAAAAAGCCTTTTGAATGACAATGCACATTCACATATCTGTCATGCGTAAGGCTGTAGGCATAGCTTCAAACGCTGATGCGTGATATTAAGATATTTAGTGATATGCCGTGTCCGCATCTGGCACACCGTTGGCCAAAAATAGCTTTAGATTTTAATCTACCTCAGCTAGCATTGTGACAGTGGCTCCAAGAAAACTGTCACTGGACCCAAGGGGACTTGTGTATTTTTGGATGCCATCTAACAGTCTAATGCTGACGTCTTACTTTTTGCAATTGCAGATTTTGAATAAACGAAAAATAAAGACATTATTAATAAGTAGTTAAGTATAAAAATATAGAATAATGATGTTATATTTAGGTGAATGTTTAGGGTGATAATCTATAATACATTGTCATACATTTTAAAGGGGTCATATTATACAAAAAAAAAAATTTTATTTACAATGATAGTCAAGGTTTCTTGCACCAACATATGTGATCATTTAATTGTACGTTACCATTTCCACCTTTACGCAGTGATTACCTGCATGCGCTAGACAAGCAACTGCTATTGACATGAGTGAGACTGCTAATCGATAGCTTTCTCCAAGTATTATAGATTTTATTTTTTCTGATGTCAGAAATCCAATCATGTCTGATTTCTTTAGTGCAGCTTTATTGCAATAGATAGTCTGTTTGTACTTGATTAAGCTTTCAGTTCCTTCCAGTTGTATAGCTACTGTATATGAAATTCTTATTGCTAAAGAGAAATTCAATTTTGTACACTAACATGTCCATTTATAATGACAGTCAAGGTTTCTTGCACCAAAAACATCTGTGATATTTAGTTTACATTACCATTTCCACCTTAGTGCAGTAATGTCCTTCGCTAGCCAAGCAACTGCCATTAAGATGAATGGGAATGCAAATCGATAGCTTTCTCCAGGTATTATATATCTCTTTTTTTTTTTCTGATGTCAGAAATCCAACCATTTCCACTTTCTTTAGTGCAGCTTTATTGCAATGGATAATTTGTTTGTACTTGAGATGAAACTTTCATTTCCATCCAGTTGTTTACATAGCTACTGTATATGAAACTCTTATTGCAAGCGAGAAATACAATTTCATATGATATGCCTCCTTTAAAGAACAGAGTGTTCTGTTTTGTCTTATATGCAGTAATGGACTGAGCAGCGGTGGTTACTGACTGCTGTGTTTCCTCATTGTCCCTCTGGTGGTAAAACACTGGTGCCCAGCTGTGCCCGAGAGAGTTGTGTATCCTCTCGATGGGATCGAGTTTTCTATGGCATGCCATTAACACGAAACAATGCTCTGGTGGTTTACACAACATGGTCATTGTCACCATGCACACAGTTTCTCTCTTCCTCTTTTTCTCCTTTTAGTCTTGTGTGTGCGCACATGTGTGGGTGTGTTTTGGTGTGTCTGTGTGTTTGTGCCCTGGATGCTTTATGCACAGTAATATGATCATCCCAGTGGTGCATTGCGTGGAAAAGAGTTGAAGGTGTGTTCTGCTTGCTAATAAATTATGTTTATTATACTGAGAATCTGAGAGGCATGTAAAACCCGCTAGACTAATTTAATGTCATTAACTAACTCATATCGTATAACCTCACCTGCAAGGGGCTACAGTCGATCTTTTTATGGGGCCAAGCACCAAAGGCGTGTGGGCATATATTGTATCTGTTAGTCATCTTAATCTTTCTCTGCTGCTTTTTCTGTCATTTAGTCTGTGGCGGGCGGCCCCTAGAACCGTATGGTAAATCGTTGGGAAATTTGGCACATTGATTGAGGAGTGTCTTCTTGATCCTGATGGCAACATTCTTCCACCTACAGTTGAAAGTTTTAGATACACTATTGTTCAAAAGTTGTTCATAAGTTGAATATTTTAGAAATTAGTACTTTATTCAGCAAGAATGGATTAAATTGATTAAAGGTGACAGTAAAACATGTATAATGTTACAAAAAAAAAATTCAGTTTCAAATAAATGCTGTTCTTGTGAACTTTCTATTCATCAAAGAAGACTGAAAAAATGTATCACGGTTTCCACAAAAATATTAGGCAGCACAGCTGTTTTCAACCTGGATAATAATTAGAAATGTTTCTTGAGCACCAAATTATCATATTAGAATGGTTTCTGAAGGATCATGTGACACTGAAGATTGGAGTAATGGCTGCTGAAAATTCAGCTTTGCGTCACATTAATAAAATACATTTTTAAATATATTAAAATAGAAAATTAAATCTAATATTATTTCACAATATAAGTTTTACTGTATTATTTAATCAAATACTGATTGGTGATCTTATGAGACTTCTTTAAAAAAAAAAAAGAGTCCAAACTCTGTACCGGAAGTGTGCGTTTTAGCTTTATTACCTTTTTAACCAAATAGTATAATTTTTATCATAGTATCATTTTTCTTTGAATTTTAAAGAACTGCTGATTTCAATTTATTCCCAACAGATATATAATTTTTAATTTTGTCGAAAGAATCATTTTAACCTTATCTAAAAGTTTTCATTGGATTATCCCTCCTTTTTACCAAAAAATACCAAAAGAATTTGCATGTATGTGTCAACAATTTTGACACAAGTATTGCAAATCAGGAAGCGAGGCTATTTTTCACAATGCTGTGATGTATTTACGTTGAAATGACTAGCAGAAT